CTGAGGCCAGAGGCATTCACTGTTGAATTCTACAAGAACTTTAGGGCAGATCTAATGCTGATACTACTCAAGCTCTTTAACGGAAGGGAAAAGGAAGGAGAACTCCCAGAGTCATTCTGTAAGCTAACATTGCCCTGATTCCAAAACCAGACAAGGATCCAACCAAAAGACAACAGAAGGCCAACCTCTGTAATGGTGCAAAAACCCTCAAGAAGATACCGGCAGACAGAATGTAATAAATCATGGAAAAGATCATACATCACAACTAAGGGATTCATCACAGGGTGCAAGGATGATTCAATATACAAAAATCAATACATGTAATTCACCAAATAATCAGAAGCTAGGGAGAAAAAAATCACATGATCATTTCAATAGATGCGAAAAAAGCCTTTGACAAAATCCAACAGGCATTCATGACAAAAACATTGAAGAAAACATGTATAGCAGACTTAATTTGATAAAAGCCAAATACAACAAACCTACTAGTAGCATCATATTAAATGGGGAAAACTGAAAGCTTTCCCTCTAAAATTAGAAATAAGAAAAAGATGTCTACCATCACCACTCCTATTCAATATAGTACTCAAAACATCAGCCAGAGCAGTCAGGCAGGAGGAGGAAACAAAAGGGATACGTTTAGGAAAGGAAGAGTCACATTATAATTATTTGCAGATGACATGGTCCTCTACATAGAAGACCCAAAAAATTCCACCAGAAGACACCTAGAACTAATAACCAAATTCAGGGGCTGGGGATTTAGCTCAGTGGCACAGTGCCTGCCTGGCAAGCGCAAGGTCATGAGTTTGGTTCCTGGTACCGGAAGAAAAACAAAAAACAAAAAAGAAAAAACTAATAACCAAATTCAGCAATGTAGCAGGATACTAAATCAACACACAAAAATCAATAGTGTTCCTGTACACCAATAATGAACTCACTGAGAAAGAAATGAGGAAAACAATACAATTTACAATAGCATCATGAAAAGTTAAATACTTACAAATTCACCAAGGAAGTGCAAGACCTCTACTATGAAACCTACAGTACTCTGAGAAGGAGATCAAAGAGGACATTGCAAAGTGGAAAGATATTCCCTGTTTGTGGACAGGCTGAACCCAAATAGTGAATATACTTCCACAGATTTAACACATTCCCCATCAAAATACCAAGAGCATTCTTCACAGAGCTGGGGAAAACAATCCTAAAATTCACATGGAGCCAACAGAGACCCTGAAGAGCAAAAGCAAACCTGAGTAACAAAAGCAAAGTGGGAAGCATCTCAGTCTCAGATTTGACATTATATTACAAAGCTACAGTGATTAAAAAAAAAATAGCATGGTACTGGCACAAAAACAGACATGTAGATCAATGGAACAGAATAGAGGACACAGAAACAACTCCAAACAATCCAACTATTTGATCTCTGACAAAGTGCCCCAAAATATACATCAGAGGAAAGGTAACCTCTTTAACAAGTGGTGCTGGGAAAACTGGTTATTCCAATGAAGACTGAACCTAGACCCATATATCTCAGTGTATACTAAACTAAAATCAAAATGTGTCAAAGATCTAAAAAAAATTTTAAACATTCTGTATTTTATTTCATTTATTTATTTATTTTTGCGGTACCGGGGATTGAACTCACGACCTTGCACTTGCCAAGCAGGCGCTTATGCCACTGAGATATGTCCCCAGCCCCCAAAGATCTAAATGTTAAAACAGAAACAATCTGCTGGAAAATAAAATAGATAAAATTCTGAAAGCCATAGATGTAGTGAAGGACTTTCTGAACAGAACCATGATTACACAGGAAATAATACCAAGGGTCAACAAACGGGATGATATCAAATTAAATAGCTCTGCACAGCAAAAGAAACAATCAACAGAATAAACAGACAACATACAAAGAATGGGGAATTTTTTTTGATAGCTACTCAGGCAGAGGACTAATATTTAGAATATATACATAACTCAAAAAACCCGTAACTCAAAATATATACATAACTCAAAAAACCCAAAATAAAAGACCCAATCAAGAACTGGCTAACTGAAATGAATAAACCCTTGTTAGAAGACATACAAATGGCCAATAAATACATGAAGAAATGTTCAACATCACAGGTGATTAGAGGAATGCAAATTAAAATAACACTAAGATCCCATCTTACTCCAGAAAGAATCATCAAGAAGTCTGATAAAAAAATGTGGGAGAGGGTGGAGTGTATGTGTGGGGGGAGAGCCCTTCTGCAGTACTGGTGGGAACATAAACTACTACAACTACTATAGAAATCAGTGTGGAGATTCCTCAAAAAAACTAAAACTAAAAATTCCATTTAGTGCAGGTATTTCCCTTTGAGGCATTTTCCCCAAGGAATTAGAGGTATCATATTACAGTGATATAGTCATGTTTACAGCAGCACAATTCATAGTAGCTAGATCTTGAAAGCAGCCTACGTGTCCATCAGCAGACAAATGGATAAAGAAAATGTGGTATTTACATGCAATGGACTACTACTCTGTCATAAAGAAGGATAAACTTGAGTCATTTTTAGGAGAAATGGATGCACCTTGAGACCCTAATGTTACATGAAATGAATCAGATGCACAAGGGTAAATACTGCATGGTTTATCTCATATGAGAAGTCCAAAATATAAATAAAGAGCAAAATAAAAGATAGATAATAGGAAATATGGACAGATCTTATTCAAATAGAAAGAGGCTGAAGAGAAGGGGGGAGGGGAAGGCGGTAGAAAAGGAATTAAAATGTGTTACGCACATGTACCAGCTCTCCGCAAGGAATGTAGTCATTATACAGTGCAAACATGTATTAATTTTTTTGAAGGATAATAGGAAATAGGGAGGTAAGATCTTTTCAAAAGGGAAGGGGACGAAGATATGAAGAGGGAGAGGAAAGGAGGAGTGAGTAAAAAGCCTGACGGTATGTGCATGGTCTCCACACTGAATGCAATCATTGTGTACTGCAAACATGTACTAATAAAAGTAAAAAAAAAAATAAATAAATAAAGTATGGGCATGAGTTGGTACCTAACAGTTTTTTTTGGGGGGTGTACCAGGACTCAAACTCAGGACTTGTGCTTACCAGGCAGGTGTTTGTGCCACTGAGCTATACGCCTGGCCCTCTAACAGTTTCCTCAAACCATAATCTAACACCATGACCCGAGAGCCATTCTCTTCCCTTCCGATTTGGGGTACCATCCTTGACTCTTGAGGGGGTACTAAACAGTGCGTGTTCCCATGCTCCGCCCCTGGGAGTGGGACTGTGGCCTTCCTGGGAGACCAGTGTCTCAGGCTGGCCTGAGGACGTGTATGCCCTGGAGCTGGGCACACCCAGCTCTGCTGCGTCAGGGGCTCAGTGTGGGGCGGTGGTGTGTGGGTGATCCCGCTGCTGGCCACAGTTTGAGAGTCACTGACTGAGGACTGAATGTCCCATGAGGTGACTGTCACTGATACGTCCACAGCAGAATGCATGACATTGGCTCTTGTCAGCTGGTGGCATGTACTGATGCAAACAGCATGTTTAACTCACTTTCTCCAGCTCAGTTTTCCTGTCTTGCTGTCACAGGTCTGTGTGAAGATGACACACAGATGACAGAGAGGGAAGTCACAGCACTGCTTCCTGCCCGACCTGAAAAGGACCAAAGACTCACCATGTGACCACAGCTGGGACTTCTGTTTGCTTGCCAGGGAGACCTCGGTTGCTCAGGAGAGTCCCTGGGAGGCTGCTGTGACCTGGCCAGGGCTCCCAGCAGGGAGGCAGGCAGTAGTGGAGCGGCTCCAGCCCAGAAAGCCAAGTGTCACCTTGCCCTCTGCTCAGAGGCTGGGGGAGCCCAGAGGAGGTACCTGGGAGTAGCGGGCAGCTGGGACGGCTCCTGCAGACAGGGATCTAAGCCTCAGCTGGGCGCCTGGAGTCCAAACATGGAAATCGGATTTCCACCTTTCAGGATTACACCTTGTGATTCTTCAGCAGGCTCTCAAAGGGGGTGGGCTCTGGGCTGGACTCCAGGCCCGCTTGGGCAGCAGGGCCATGACACACCAGGGCCTTTTCTCTCCAGCCAAGCTGAAGTCCTTGGTCTCAGGATCCACCAGAGGCACTGGTTAAACTGCAGATTCCCAGGCCCTTCTGAGGCCACCTTGTTACAGCCGAATGGACCAAAAATAGTCCAGGTTCTTATACAGCACAAGGGAAGAACTGCCAAGCTCCCTCCTCCTATGTAGTAAATGGCTACACTTAGTGAAGATCACATGGTAGCAGGCAGAAGGGCGAAGGGAAAAAGGAGAGGAAGAGGAACCTTTCATTGAACACTAGCACAACTCAGGCTTCCAGCACTGAAAGGGTCAGACACCTCTGACTTCAGGTGCCTGCCATTCAGTCTCTCACTGGTGGAACTAATGATCTGTCGCTTCGGGCATCTTCCACCTCCTAAGCTTAAACATGGATAATTACGGGGCGGGGGGTGTGCGGTGCCCACAGCTGAAAGAGGGGAAGGGAGTGGCTCACTCACCTCCTCTTTCTAATTGTATCAGTCCGGCCAGGACCTTGGAATTGGCCCTAAGAAATGGGCACAGCAGGTGCCCTGAGCTTCTCCCGGCGAAGTGAGAACCCCATACATGGGAAGGGGAAGCTCTGGACAGGTAGGGAGGGAGGGACTGGGGAGGTGTCCGGATTAAATGCCCTCCTGGGCTTGGTCACTCCTTCCTTTGGTCTCCGAGGCCACTCCCAGCTGACTCAGAGGAGCCTTCTTGCTCGCCCAGACTGGGTGCCTCTGAAACGGGGCTGATTTTTTTCCCTGCCAACTCTAGAGCCCCACCCTAGGCTACCGGGGCCATTCCCAGGTTACACACCTCCTTTCTCAGGCACGCTTTGTCCTGGTGCCAGCGAAGGCCAGGTCAAGAATGCCTGCGCCAGCGAGGGCGGTGGGTGGGCGGGTCCCGCTGCAGGACCCTCCCGGGAGGGCCAGGTCTGAGTCAGACACGAGGCTGGGACTGAGGCTTCCTCGACTTGGCGGGAGGGCAGCAGCCCGCCGTCTGGGGAGCCTTCCAGAAACAGGGGCGTTCCTGCAGGGCTGGGAGGTGTGGAGCAGGAGCAGCTGAGAGTTTGCTAGAAAGTGTTTCCCGGCGGGGCTGCGCCGGCTCCGGGCACGTGCGCGGGGACTCGGACCGAGGACGCCGGCGCGGGCGCAGCTCGCTCCCGGCGCTGGAGGCGGATGCGGTGCGTTCTCGCTTTGCG